TAGCTACATTTTTTCCAAATCACATCTCTGCTCTCTGTGACCTAAAAGTGTCTTACCTTATGTTATTCCTGCAGATGCTTCTAAAAAGGAACCTAGGTGGAATTTCTGGAAATATCTCATCAGCCCTGAAGGTAAAGTTGTGAAATATTTGAGGCCTGAAGAACCCATAGAAAACATCAAGCAGGATATAGCCGCTCTGATTAGGGAGATCATTTTAAAAAAGAGGGAAGACCTTTGAGGATGTTACTCTGCCTTGTGGATTCGTTGGGCAACTTCATCATCCGGCCTTAGTACATTCTTGTTCAAATATGGCAAATTCTGAACTTATCAATGATCTTTCTTGACATTTAATGCCATGATAAACTGATAAACAGAACATTCTTCTGTTTAGAACCACTAAAGATGCTGAGAGCAAAGGAAGCCAAGACTTTAATAGTGCTCTAAGCACTTTATCCAATTGAGCCTTGGACCCTTCAAACATGTTTATTGTAATATCTGGTTAGGAAATTTGATTATGAACAATGTAAGAGACTTTTTTTGTGGGGAAAAGGTTCCCAATAAATATTGCTTTCCTAAAACAGTTCCTGCTGTGATTTTACATGCAAGCACATACACAATTATTATGTTACTGTGACTTTAGAGAGAAAAACAATTTGATGTGGTGGTTAAAGGCATCAGACTGGAAATGGTAAGACTGAGTTCTAGTCTTACCTTGGACATGATATCAGCTGGGTACCCTTGGTCCAGTCATTCTCTCTCAGCCCTAGGAAGGGCAAACTACTTCTATAGCAGTTACTAGGAGCCAAACCTAACACAAAGGAATGCCCCCCCAGCACCCCAAAAAAAAGTTAAGGTTTTAAAATTGCAAGGCTGAGAAAAACTGGCCTAAGCACTGCTGATTTTGTTCTGACCATTCTGTGATGATGAAGTTTTAAACGAAAGGGAAAAATTTAACAATAACCCAAATATTAATCCACTGAATCTCTGTGGAATCCATATCCTTAAGCAGCCCAAACCTTTTATACAAATACTCCTCAACCACAACTGAGCCCAAACTTTCAGTTGCTAAGTGAAACAGTTGTTAAGTGAGTTTTGCTCATTTCTTGGCCCAAGTATTAAGTGAATCACTGCAATTAAGTTAATAACACAGTTGTTAAGTGAATCTGGCTTCCCCATTGCCTTTGCTTGTCAGAAGTTTGCAAAAGGGACACTGCAACAGTCATAAATACGAGTCAGTTACCAAGCGTCTGAAATTTAATCACATCACCATGGATGATCAGTGGTGGGATTCAAATATGTGAACAACCGGTTCTCTGTGTGGATGCCACTTCCGGAAGTCCATTCTGGGCCTGGGCAACAAAAAAATAGCTACCAGTTCTGCCGAGGTGGTGCGAACTGGCTGAATCCCATCACTGGAGATGATACAATGCTCTTAAGTGTGAAAAATGATCATCAGTCACTTTTTTCAGTGCCACTGCAACTTCACACAGTCACTAAATGAACTGTTGTAAATTGAGGACTATCTGTATTGAGAAGAATTCCAAATCTATGTAATACATATGAGCTGAGTCATTTTCATACTGGAGAATTGTCTCCATAGCCATTTCCCTATGCTGGCATCACACACCCAAAGACACAGTGGCCCCCCTCTTCCCTTGATGACAGGATTTAATGGGGATGTTGGAATTTAACTTTGGTGCCAGGTTTTTAATGTTTATGGTTTTAATTGATGTATGTATTATGTTGTTTCTATTGATGTTGTTTTAATTGATTAGGAGCCACCCAGAGTTTGATATAAGACGGGCGGTGATATAAATGTTTTAAATAATTAAAAATAAAATAAATACATACTATCTCCTATTAATTTGGACAATAGATAAGCTAGTTTGGAAAAGATTGTCTTCCAAGGCAATTTAGAACAAAATAAATTAAAAACTTAGTGCGCTTTTTCACGGTACTGCATATATTAAAAGTATTTATTTACAACTAGCTGTACCCGGCCACGCGTTGCTGTGGCTCAGTCTGGTTAAATGGAAAAGAAAGAAAAGAGAAAGCGCACGTTTCTAATATGTTTAATTTCACAATGCTTGTGAGTATACCAACAGATGGCGCTGTTTTTCAAAAAAAAAGCATGTTTTTACCTTTTACCTGTCACAGGTGTGACATGTATATAATAGTAGGTATATAAAAACACGCGCGTATTCGAATACAACGTTGTGTCAACATTTCAAAGCAATCGGTGAAGAACTTTCGGAGATTTAAGATTTTGAACAAACGAACATTTACATTTTTATTTACATAGATGATGGCTATTGCCCTTCTCTCCCTACAAGCAAATTTCACATATTAGCCTCAAAATGATGTTAAATTGTGCAATAAATTGGAAGTGTATTTAGTTGCTGGAACATATACAACAGCTAACTAAGAGATACACTGCCAAACCATCCCACACGAAGACAGAACACGAAGACAGAACACACATAGTACTATAAACTCAGATGATTATATCAGAATCAAGAACATCAAAAAAACTTCCACTGATATTTAGTGCACAGAAAAATATTTTCAGTTTTGCCTATAAATCTGTGAGCTATCCTAATAATATCCTAATATTCCAACCTGGGTAATTTGCAGATAGCAATAGCAATACCACTTAGACTTACAACATATATCTCTTCACAGTGCTTTACAGCCCTCTCTAAGCGGTTTACAGAGTCCGCATATTGCCCCCAACGATCTGGGTCCTCATTTTACTGACCTCAGAAGGATGGAAGGATGAGTCAGCCTTGAGTTGAGTTAGTCTGCAATGTTGCAATCTAACCACTGAGGCCACCATGCACAGTGTCAGAATGTTAAACACTAATACATTTTTGATGGCAAACAGTTTTTGAATATTTTGCTACACCAAGTCACCTGATGACCAAAATATGTGCCGTAGGCTGGCAGCTGAATGTCAGCTGGTGCCATCTGGATATCCATCCAGCTAACAATACACTGCCATTCCACTACACACACAGCTTTATGTTATTCTCTCTCTGACAACCAACAGTTCCTGCAACAGGTGACAGTGTGGTAGCGACTGCTAGAATTAAACAAAGCAGCCAGCTAATTCTACACTGCCTACCAGTCACAGGTTACATCACACCAGAGGAGAGTCCTTGAGACACGAATTCTCCTTAGATCGGTGCTACAGCCACTAATGGGTAAAAATAATGCTATAATCAAATATTTATTTCTAAATGGATGGTTCATAATAATAAGTCATAATAAGGGTTAGGAAGCCTGCAACTAAATATGAAAATAGTATTCTTGCCTGCCTCCATTCATTCATTCTCTCAAATGTTTTATATTTTTTGATGAATAACTAAATGTTAATATAAAACACTAGAGCTCTCCAATATAGATACCCTGAAAAAGCCAATACAGGTAGTCCTCGACTTATGACCACAATTGAGTCCAAAGTTTCTGTTGCTAAATGAGACGTTTGTTGAGTTTTGCCCCGTTTTATGACCTTTCTTGACACAGTTGTTAAGTCAATCATTGCAGTTAAGTTAGTAACATGGTTGTTAAGCGAATCGGGTTTCCCCATTGACTTTTCTTGTCAGAATGTTTCAAAAAGGCGATCACATGACCTTGGGACACAGCAACGGTCACAAATATGAACTATTTGCCAAGCATCTGAATTTTGATCATATGACCATGGGGATGCTGCAACGGTTGTGTTACAACAATTTTTTTTCAGTGCTTTGTAATTTTGAACAATCACTAAATGAGCTGTTGTAAGTTGAGGACTACCTGTAATATATGCCTTCTTTTCTTTTTTAAAAGGAAATTCCCTCCCATTTTTCTAAATGAGCAGAGATTGCTTTGAATTAATTCTTCCATGCATCAGGAATGTGCTAGCCTTTTTTGCGCCTTTTCACTTCCCTTGGTTGAAAGAGGGAATAGCTGCAGAACTTTACATCAAGAGGGAAATTCAAGATCAGGTATCGTTCTGTAAGATCCTTTTCTCCTACTTTGTTGTAGTGGGGGTGAATCTCTGATCTACTTCATGGCCCTTTAGACGCCATATCAAGAAACAGAATTGCAGCCAAAGGAGAGTATAAAAATGTGGGTCTACCAATTATTAAGGGGAACGTTTAATTTTTATTATCTTGTGTGTGTGCATGTGTGTGTGTAGCAGTCATAATCAGAAATAATAATAAAAACACATATCATAGTAATATACCCTCATTGCTGCAAAATAACTTAAAATAGCTAAACAAAAAATGTGCAAGTTGATTAACCTAATAATCTCATGTAGGTTAGTTATCCCATTACATCATTTAACTGCACTGCATTAAATTGGTAAAAGAGTGATAAAATATACACATTGCATATATTTTATCCAGAAAGTCAGAGTATATAGCCCAAACAATTAATAGACCTTAGACATGTGATTCAAAGATGTCATGAAAAAACTTCAAACTTGATTTGAATTGAGGACTCAAATGCCTCTGAGTTGATCCTGAAATCCAAATTATCAGATTGAATAATTATATTGCCTCAATTGAAGCAGGTTTCTGAATCCATACAAATCAGGTTTATTTTCCAAACTGAAAGAAGTTGAAACAATTGGATTTTTTAAATAGGCGTTAATTAATCCAATGGATGGATTCACAAGGACACACTTCCATTATTTCTGCAGCACATTAGAATGCAGCACTCTGGAGTGCAACCAGCTGCTGTAACACAAAAGGTATTCAAACAGCCAGCTAGTAGTGCACTGCCAAAGTGACACATATCTTTTCTCATGTTCAAAGTTT